CTTGCATTTTATCAGGTCCCATTGCCAAACGAAAGTACTTGGCCGATTTCAAATATGCGGTCGTTAGAGCGGCAAAGAGAGGGAAGACTTTGGACGAGATCAATACTATGTTGGCCAGTACAGTCAGCAAAGATTCCCTGCTTCAATGGACAGACCTGCATGAGAGAACCCAAGCTGTTGTGTGTGATCCGTCTACTTACCAAACCCAAGGCCGGCCTTTCGAATTGGAGTCTGAAGATTTAGAATACATCCTACACATGGTCACCGAGAAACCAACAGCGTATCTTGACGAAATCCAGAATGCTTTACTCAAAGAGAAAGGAGTCTCTGTCAGCTTGAAGACAATCTCAAAAACCCTCCACGAACAATTGAAAATGTCCATCACAACTGTTAATCAACGTCAAGATCCAGAGGCCAGAGCACATTACCTTGCGCGAGTCAGCTGTGTACCGACCTCTTGCCTTGTATTCACAGGCAAGTTTCTCTTTTATCTGTAATCTGACCCCCAATAACTCATCATTGATTTCAATCTTTTTACAGATGAATCAGGGGTCTCGCTCAAGGTGGTTTTGAGGACACAAGGCTGGGCCCCAGTAGGTCAAAGAACCCCTCCAGTTCCGCGTGAGAGGAGCACACATGGATACAATATCATCCCAGAAATCTCATCGACTGGGTTGGTTGCACATATGGTCCAGGAAGAATCAGTCATTCGATCCAACTTTGAATTTTTCCTTGAGCATATCCTAGTGAGTGTTGATCTATCTAGTTTTTCTTTTTGGTTTTGCTGACTACATTTGTTTGGCCCAGCTGCCATCTATGAACCCTTTTCCAGGGCCGCAAAGTGTGCTTGTGATGGACAATGCACAAATCCATCACTATGGCCGGATAGAAGAGATTGTGGAGGCCCGAGGTTGCCTCTTGCTACATCTCCCAGCATACTCTCCCGACTTGAACCCAATTGAGAAAGGGTTTTCAGTATACAAGTCGACTCTCCGACGGAACGAAGATCTGCTTACTGGCGGCAAGGAAGATTATGATGTCATTGAAAGTTTTATCTCTTTTGTGTTTACTGATGTCTTGACTCAAAAACTCTTTGTTGGTTGCGGTTATCTTTGAGAAATATAACGTTGTAGATAAAACTTCCCTCCTTACGAGTAACTTGATCTTCTTTTTCCTATTTTTGATAAGAAATTCACTGGAATCTGGAGCCCGGGTCTGGGTACTGAGACTTCAGTAAGCAGAGAGATCTTGATGGATCGGTCATCTGTTCTGGTGCACAACCAAGACTATGTTCTCACAAATGCTTGCAGACAAAGAGACAGCTTGTCTTGCACGTTTTCATTTCAAGAAGTGATGGAAGAAACTATTTCGGGAGGTCAGATGTCAGCTTGCTACTATAGCAGAGACAACCTGTCATAGTACACAAACACTGTAGAAAATACAAAAAGACATTATTATGAATAGTGCAGGAAATAAATGAGAAGATCAAATAATAAGGGCATTATTGGGTAACTCACTCAAAGGTACCCTATATCTCAACTACTTCATGTGGCAAATCTACATTAAAGATATAGGGTGTACCTCCAAGCAGGAAATGAAATATGCTTATTTTTATAATTAAATATGCTAATAAACAGATTTAAGACTTGAAACGGATTTGCTGTTTCAAGCATACAGTTGTATATTGATAACACGTGTGTGGCACATTTCCAAGGAAATAGCCGCATGTTTCAGATTTCATCTTCTACAGAACACCTGTGGCACATTTCCAAGGATATGGTCACATGTTTCAGCCTCCATGCATGAAGTGCCCACAAGTTGACCCTGATCTCCCAGATGCCTCTACGGGTATATAAAGAGCCCTCTGTCCACCCAAAACCAGATTCCTCAGATTATTACAACCCACTTTAGATTACCCACCGTCCCAAATGCTTAACATTTGTATCTGTCTGGTAATGTATTGTCTCTTGCTTTGATTCTCTGTCTATCAGAACCTCAAGACTTTAGGGGCTTTATTAGTACATAATGCCCCCTTCTTTCTTGAGATTCTTACTACTTTCTTCTGGGATTTAAACCACACCTGTAACCAGGCCCCAGTGTTATCAGGTACCTAATCATCTGCTTTTGCACGGTACCTTTGAGGGATTAAACAAACCCTGATTTATCAGGCCCCTCTGTTTAAATTATATCAATAATTATTAGTATAATTAATCACATCTACTATTTATAAACCTTGTAATTACCAATCATCATTGGAATTACCACCCGGACTCTTTAGTCCCAGAGTCCAAACTTTATCATCTTAAGTTTTTGCACCACGTGTAGCTAGAAGGGATACTCCTTGGCATCACGGTGGCTGACATCAGAGACAACAGCAATTGACATCAAACTTTTTGAAGAGAGCAGGGAAATATCAACTGTGCTTTGGTTATCAGGAAGAAACAAAAAGAAGATAGAAATTCTTTGAAGAGAGCAGAGAAATATCTTAATTGTGCTGCGGTTATCAGGAAGAAACAAAAACAAGATTCGGAGATTCTCTCTGAGTTCAACAGGAAGAAAAAAACAATGTGATTTCATGAGTCAAGAGAGGAAAAGTGACGATCAACTGAGGACAAGCGCCCAGTGGTTGACATGTGACTTAGATTTGAGACTACTTTTCAAGAGAGACCTAGCAACGATGGACCAAGGAAAAGCGACCAGTGATTGACAGTGATTGACATGTGAGCCTACTTGTTGAGGCGGCGCTCTTTAAGAGTGCGTCCGTACTTTTTGGTGTTCGAGACGAGCAATCTCGCTTTGCTCTTTTTCACACCAAGCAATTCAAGCTCTTCAGGTTTGATGTTCTCAAATTCTTGATAATGAGTGATCCCGTAATCAACCAGCGCCTTTTGTACCGATTCGCAATGATGATTGATGTGGCAGAATGATAAGTAATCGTTGATGTCCACAGTGTCGTCTGAAGCAGGCGGTGAAGAAACAGGTGCAGTGTTCATAGTCCCTGCAGCCAGATGAGGATTGTGTGTGATAAAGGTGTTGGGCTGCCATACGGGTGGAGTCTCAAGTGGCATCCCACCGTATGGGGCATAGAAGTGTGGTTTTGGAGGGCCCCATCCCCAAGGGGAGGCTGGTGGCCAACTCATTGCCGGTGGATAGGCCCCCATTGCCATTAGGATCGGGGACACGTTAGTGGGGTTTGTAGAACCACCCGCCAATGCGATACCAGCAGGGCTTCTGTTGCTTCCAGGAGTTCTAGGAAGACTAGGCAAATCTTGAGTGGTCCTCGCGCCGACATTGATCGAATTGTCTCCTTCTTTGTTGGCACCTGCGCCAATTCCCTTGAATTCAGCTTTGGTCTGGAATCGGAAGGCAGGAGATTTTGGCGGATTGTCTACTGTGACTTCGGGGTTGGTAGCCTGCAATACAAAGAGCCCTACCAGTCCCAAAATGAGTCGCAAAAGCAAGAGAACCAAAGAAAACAATGAAACTCACCATTGCTCTGGCCCAGAGGGTAATTCGATCCGGACTGAGTGCAATGAACCGCTTGCGATCCTCAGGGTCAATCATAACTGGAAGCTCCATTGACCCCGTCAAATTCTCACTCGGCATATGAGTCGCTCTGAGCAACCACATATTCTCGATGACCTGTTTGTTGAAACTTGCACCGGCCGTCGGCTCCGCTTGCACAGATTGGTCGTTGCTGTTCTCCTTGTCCTGCTCCGATAATTTTTTTAAAGCTTCATTCCGCTGAAGACCATTGTAAAATGATGATTAGTTAAAAAGAAGCCTCTGATATGATACAAAATAAGTAAATGAAACAGTCAGGTCCAAGAAAGAAGAAGAATACATACCTCCGCAATCGTCTTGGGGTCATTTTGGACCAAGTAGACCTTTGCTTCCCCCTTTTCCTCGGCCACTTCAAGAAACCTTGCGAATATTTTGGAGTTGTCCAACACAGTTTGGTTCTTCTCGATGAATTGTCCACCGTAAGGGATAATCGCATACCAGCAGAGGTTTCTCCCTCTCTTGCTTGTCCGCCAGTTGAAACACCTGATTTGGCTCGAGCACACGGAGGAATTCAAGCACGGCCTCTTTTAAAACTGCAAGGCTGGTATTTGAAGCGTTCCACGTTAACGATAGCTTATTTGATTTTGAAACTAATCGCGTGTATTTATCGGGGGCATCAGCGGTCGCTGCCTTTTGCTTATTTCCTGCGCGGGTATTAGTAGGCTTTGACTTGTTCTTTTTCAAGGTTAAGAAGAGTTTGTACTCAATAGCAACCTTGAAATCTTTGCCATCATTGTCGTTGTCGGCCTCGTCCTTGGGATCAATACCTCCTCGCTGAGTGTTTGACGACGTGTTGGCAACTGATTCAGAACGCCTTTGTGAGCCGAGGGAGGCACCACCTGGTTGTAACTGATCGTCCAACCAATTGCTAACTTGATCGAGGCTTTGGAGGCCGTCAAGATAGTCGGAATAGTCTGCAAGTATGATCAAACAACGGCAAAAATTTTCAGAATATTATAAAAAAGAGGTGTGTGTAGCTCAGAATATGAAAATAAGAAAAATCTGTACGTACCTGATGGTTCCATAGCACTAGTCGCAATGAAAGGAAAACGGTTGGTTCCGGGCGGATGGTGGTGCCAGGCAAACAAACCTGTGTCTGTGGTACTATTTATGACGGGGGAGACCTTAGTCCGTGCACCGGGGAAATGTTGGGTTTGGGGGGGAAAAAAAATTTGGTGTGAAAAAAAAAAAGTCGTGGAAAAGCGCAATAATTTGCACAACAGCTGTACATGGTTTTCCAGTAAGGGATTATCCCAAAAGCCGGGGTTCAGGGTTTTACCCCGTTCCTGAACCCCGGGGTTCAGGACTCGGGACAGGCCTCTTGGAAAACCCGAAGCCCCGGGGTTTCCAGGAATGTTGTAGTTTAGCTGAAAAATTAGATTTTTTGGCATTTATGTACATGGTTTTCCAGTAAGGGATTATCCCAAAAGCTGGGGTTCAGGGTTTTACCCCGTTCCTGAACCCCGGGGTTCAGGACTCGGGACAGGCCTCTTGGAAACCCCAAAGCCCCGGGGTTTCCAGGAATGTTGTTGAGAAGTGGTTTGTTGTTGTTTTTCTTGATCAGAAATATGTTGCAAACATTTTTTTGTGTATGTAGAATCTTTGAGAGCAAAAAGAAGGAAAGAAAAACAACCATAATGGATAGACAGCTTGTCTGTCGCCTTTGTTGAAATGATTCCAGAGCCAACTGCGCTTATTGGAACCAGCTCTGCTATCTTGACTGACTTCAATATCGTCGACATCAATTATTTCCCAAGTTTGACCGGCAGCTCAACATTCCTTTTGAGGTTTTTTCCACTTCATTCTGGTATCTAAGAGCCAAAGTAGACGCTTCCGCCATGTGTACACATGGCTGGTAAAAAAAAAGTAAAAAACCCCGGGGCTTCAGGGTAAAACCCTGAAGCCCCGAGGGTTGTGCCTCGGGACAGCCCTCCAGCCCCGTCCCAAACCCCGGGATCATGCCTTATTTTCCAGCCCTTTTGGGGCCAAAGAGTAATATAAAACTGGCTCAGAGTGTTGAATAAACACTCCAAGTTGATGCTACAGGCACTTGAAGGACCTCAAAGAGGTATAAGACCATGAATAATCCTAACTTAAACCCATAACTATGGGTTTAAGTATGGCTTTTGGTATGCATGTCCGGATACATGTATGTCACACAAAGAAAAAAAAAGAACCACTGCAGTATAGGCTTAGTGGTTACAATTTTGACCTCTACACATCTGTAGGAGTTCAAAATTGTAATAAAAATAAGTATTGGGGTACATGCCCCCCTGGGAATAGACCCCGCGTGTCAATCTTTGATTTTGCGGGCAGGGCATGGTCGGTTTTGGCCATCCGCAACTGTATGTTGTATTATCGGGGTCCATGATTGTGTTTTTTTTTTGCTTATCAAACCTGTTTTTTTTTTTTTTCTTCTTCTTGCCCATTGCTGACATAAAATTCCTCAGCAAGAATTTATGGCCCATACTGTAGGGTTCAATTTTCAAAAATGGGCATTTTTTCCATCCTCTACACAAAAACTTTGAACGATTGGAGAGATCTGGTGTTGAAATTCTTCACTTTCATGCCAAAGACTAGCGTCTACACCACAGGTCGGGCCAGACGACTTTTGGTTGATGCACTGGATGGTTGTCCGGCCAGTTTTCCGTGGCTCTGCAAGGGCCATCCTATGGATGGCACTCTCAAAACCTTGAATCGAACGTTTCTGGATAAAGTATCCATTGGATGGTCTTCTGGCAGGACACAACCCAAAAAATGACAGACACATTGATTGGGCTTGAACACACAACCTGCCTGCATCAGGAGGATGCACAAGAGACCCCGCTGGTCGGATGTCGCATTCACTCCGCTGCGACACCCGCAGTAAGGGGGGCCCCTTGCCGCGGGTGTCGCAGCAGACTGCGCGCGACATCCGATCGCCAGCTGTGAGAGGCCCTTACCCACTCTAACATTTCAGATTTAACATTCCTTCACCCAAATGGGATAAGAGCCTAACGTTTTATGCAAAGCTAATTTTCCGGCTTAATTTAGACTTTTGAACCCCCAAGTCATGTGCATTTTGAAATAAATTTTTGACAATCAACTGGATTTTAGCCTGTTTTTTCAACCATCAACCATCTCACCTGTAAAGTGAAAATTGGGCACTTTCAAAAATGTCCATTGGACACTCTCAATCAAGAGTGTCCAATGGATGGTTATTTTTTACCATCCAGAGGATGGTCTTGACCACCAGGCATCACTTTGATGGTTTCAGAAGCCTCCAAGTGATTCTTGGGGCACCAGAGAATCCCTTGGATGCTTTCATAGCGTCCAAGGGACGCTCTTGCTCAGAAAACGGCCATTGGATGTACAGTGGGTGGACCGTTGTTTTTGGCTGCTTGTTTTGGATCCCAGAGCTTCAAAGCACCAGATTGAAGTCATGAGACTTGGTCAAGTGGTGCAGAATAGGTTGCAAAAAATGAATATGAAAAAATAAAAACAAAAAACAAAGTTTCAAATTTTGTGAAAAATAAAAAATAAAATTGATTTTTTTCAAAAGGTTTGATATTCATTTTGGGGAAGTGTGAGTGCAGAGAGAAAGAAAGAATGTATAATGGGAAGAATGATTATAAATGAAAATTTTGGAAAAAGTGGTTACCAGATAGTTTTAACCAGTTGTTGAGTGGGGCATTCACCAGCTCACATTGCAGTAAAGCACTAGAATTTACTGTTTTGACTCCAATCTGAACAACCAACCTGGCTCAACCTTTTTTGGTTAAATTTTTTTCATTTATAATAATTCTTGCCATGTTCCACTCTTTGTTTCTCTCAGCACTCCCACTCCCCCAAAATGAATAACAAAGCTTTTGGAAAAAACATTTTTATCTTTTATTTTCACAAAATTTAAAACTTTGTTTTTTGTTTTTATTTTTTCATATTCATTTTCTGGGACCTATTCTGCACCACTTCACCAAGTCTTGTGACTCAGAGTTTGTGCTTTGAATCTGTAGAATCCAAAACAGGCAGCCAAAAATAACGGTCCACCCACTGTACAGGTTTTCTAAAAACCCGCCCTGTGGTGTAGTTATTGTCAATATTGATTATATAAAATTTTGAGCAAGATAAATTTTGAGAAATTGAATTTTCGTGCCCTGTGGTACAGGCCCTTGAGATTTCACACTAAATTTTAAGTTTGCAGCAGTGCTGTGGTTTCTTGAGCAAGAAAAAATTTTCTCTTGCAAGAAGCTATCATGAACCTCCCTATTCTACTAATTTTCCCTTTTTTCACTTATCACAGCTTTACTGCTCCCAACAATGTGTTATGCTGGGGCTGTTTTTGGAAAGGAAAACTGCTGCATCTTGAGCTTCTTCAGATCCATTCTCAGAGGTTTAGGCCCATTCCTTTGTTCCCAATATTAAGAACAAAGATATAGAAAGCTATGTGCCAGAGCCACCATGACCGTGGGATTACGCTTCAATGTGTCTGTCAGCTCTGGTCTCTTATGTGACCAAGAGTTGATGGGTTAATGGGTCACAGTATAGCCAAAGAGTGGTGAGTGGAAAATAAGCCCAACTCAACACTTGTACAGTGGAGGGGCTAGCTCCTTATAAAAATAAGGGAAAACTGTGGAATGAGCTTCACAGTGCCTGAGTTAATTATTATGAGAGAAATAGAGTAGTACTAGTCCTATAAGTTAAATATGTAACCTATAAATACTAGTAAAGAAGATAGAGGTAAGAGTACTAATTTAATGTAATAATAGACTACTGTAAAAACCCCACTCACTATTTATTATGATCTAATGTCTAGTAAGGTACTTGGGTTTGTATGGTAATATTGTCTGGGGGATGAATCTCAGGGAAAGAGTCATCCTCTTATATATTACAGAGCAGGGGTCAAACTGCTGCTGGGACCGGTGCAGTCCCCTTATTGTTACACTATTCCTTGGGGGAAAGTGTCAGGATATTCAGAGCGTGCTAAATGAAGAATGTTGGACCACCAAAGAGAGAGAAGAGAGGGAGAGAGTGACCGGTCTTTTATTGATAAACTCATGGGGGGCTCTGAGGATGTCAAGGTTCAAAATGACGAAGAACCAATTGTTTTGATTTCTTAATAACTAGCTGATTTAAATAGACTAGTTACAAGTATGGCCAAAATGTGGTTGGAATAGAAAAGAATAAAAAATAAACCCATTCAATATGACATGCATCAACAAGAGAGTACTCAAACAAGAAGATAGGTTTAGCTAGAGAGCTGATAAGCCCTTTTTCTTCAGGGCTCTTTGACTACAAGGGGGGTCAGACATGCATAAACTAGACTAAAAATCAGACTATAATGAATGAAAACTTCAGTGATGACATCAAGAATGGAAGTGATTTTTGGTATGAGTAAAAAGAGTATCAAAATTCCAACACTAAATGTACATGTGCTGAGTATCTTTTATTTCAGAAAATACACATAAGACAGATAAACAGAATATATATTCACACAAGACAGATAAACAGGATAAGTATCTCTTGGATACACCCAAGAGATAATTATCCTTTTCAACTTGATTATTATTTTCATGGAAGAGGTAAATTAATAGAGAGGTAAATCTTTATTAACTTACAGAATATTTATTAACATAAATAAAGCATATAAAAATGAATAACATTACTGTATACTTATTAAATTAAAGATTACATATAATAATATTTATTATGTTACACAAGGGGGTTACATCCTTTTGTAGACACCTGGGCTAGTGTCTCAGTGTCTGACATTATTATTTTTATTCTCCAAATTAATGATGATTTGCCTCTTTATTGAAATAGTTATCTCTCTCTTAGTTTTTGGGTTCCCGGTGTGGAGCTCAAAACAGATGGCTATAAACATCTGGGAGGGGACTGTACATCAAAGTGGTTGAAGAAGGAAAGCAATGCAATAATGGTTTTAAGCCTGAAACTCACCAATGGGTGGCTACTGAGCTATTGAACAAGTTCCCTGGTTCCAAGTTTGCTGGTCCAAAGGTCAAGTCTAAGTTAAACCAAGTAATTATGCAATTTGGCTGGTTATTACATGCTTGATTGGTGTTTTTATTACATTCTATTGGCTTGGAACTGACTGCTTTAATTCTGATAGAATTTCCACCAATGTTATTGTCAGCCACAGAGTACATGTCACAGTACCTTTCATGTACCAAGTAACTGCAACACCTGTACTTATGTACATAAGTACTTATCCATAATGTTGATTACCTTTACCTCTTGTTATCTTATCATTATTATTAACTTACCTTATTTATCTTACAGTTATCTTATCTGTTAATTACTTATCTATTAAATACATACCTGTGTTCTACATAAGTAATTATCACTTACCTTTCACTCCCTTGTCCGTGAAATACCTGTACCACAAGTTATCCCTCTGCTACAGTATTTTCACAGTCAAATATTATTACAAATAAATATGTACATGTATTAAATAGTAAGTATTAAGTGTCAATAGAATTAATACATTCAATACATGCACTGATCACAATTATGACTACATTATTAGAGGATCTGTTAAGTACACGCATCAAGAGCTACTAGTACATTGATCAACTAGTACACAATTATGATGTCAATTACAGATCATGACAAATAATGATCAGTCACTCAATTGATGTACTCATTCTCCTGGCCAAAGCTCCCTTGATTCTGAGCGCTCATTCTTTCCCCCCTTCAGTATTCTGGAACTTATAATCCGTGCCTCTTTCACTGATTAATCCCCAGAATATTCAGACACCAGTTAAACCAGTTAACATTTATATTGATACAGTACACGTAACCAACATAAATCTTGTCTACATTTATTGTTCTTAAGCTTCAGTACTCTTACTCAACTTATCCACAGTATTCATAGCCTTGCTGAATATTCCCATCAACAATACCTGTTAATCTTCAACTAATTTTGTTAAAGCTTAATAACTATTGTTAGCCCATTCCCTTTTGGGAATAACCAAATCAATCCCAGGTGAGTCTTAGTACCCTGGATGCCTATTAATACCTTGTATTGATCCGGATGCGCTGTTGATAGCAAGCCTCTCAGTAAAGACCATACTGATAGAGTGAAACCTCCTCTTTACAGGACTGGTATTAATCACCCACTACCTAACACTCACCACGCTCAAAAACTTCAGTCAACTCATAGTAACAACCTTTTTACTATTAAATACTCAGGTTAGTTACCCAGAGGCTGACAGTTATGATGCCTTTGTTACATGTAAAGAAGCAAGCAACTTTGTATGGAATGAAGATCAGTGCATGGTCACTGCATCCAAGGAGGTTTGGACTAGCTTCTGAGAAGTAATCTATTTATGTTTGGTTTTTGATCATGCATGGTTGGCTGATCCATGGCTGTGAACACTGTGTTGAAATTGATCTTGTGTTTGACGGTTTGTTGTCTTCTGTCCAACAATGTAAAAGAAAATAGCAAGTTGTTCATCCATGCTGAGCAGCTTTGAAGCAGGTTCACGGTCAAGGGAATCCAATCCGTCCATGCACTTTTTGAAGATGTTGATAGATAAACAAAGCATAGCTTGAGCCCAATGTTGATTGCCACTGAGGATGTGTTTGATGTATGCATCCCCACCAAATATATGGTATCATTATATGGCTCCTTCAAAAGTGTTCTTGCCCATTGACAAAGGCCAACAATAGTAACAAGAAGAGAACACACAGACACTTTCATTTTGACCAACCCTGCTGACAACGTTGAGTGGCCAGTATACTTCCAAGAGAATTTTCAGCCATCATCACGTTTTTTGATGTGGCATTTGGGGATGGTAGGGATCTTCTGTATTTTCTATGGTCCACACCAAACACCTGATTGTTATAAATGGGGCAGGTGTCATGGGCGATATATATCAATGACATTTGTTGAAATTTTGGTTTATAACAGTGGCCCCATTTATAATGTATAACGGGGCATCCAAACGGGGCCAAAGGTTCAAAATTTGTGAAAAAATAAAAAATAAATAAATAATTTTTTTTTTTTCAAAATATTTGTTATTGATTTTGGGGGAGTGGGATTGCTGAGTGAAAGAAAGAGTGGAACATGGCAAGAATGATTATAAATGAAAAAAAAAAAAAATGGAACCAAAAAAAGGGTGAGCCAGGTTAGCTGTCCAGATTGGATCCAAAACAGTAAATTCTAGTTCTTTACTATAATGTGAGCTGGTGAATACCCTACTCAACAGCTGTTTAAAACCAACTAGTAAGCTTTTTTTTTTAAAAAATTTCATTCATAATCATTCTTCCCATTTTCCTATTTTTTGTTTTTCACAGATTTTGAAGCTTTGTTTTTTGTTATATTTTTTTCATATTCATTCTTTTAGACCTATTCTGCACCACTTCACCAATTCTTGTGACTTGAAGGTGGCTGCTATCCTATATTAACTATAGCTTCAAGTCAAAACTCGCTTGGTTTTAGTTCAACCAATGCAGATGCTCTCAACAACCCCTAATTTTAAAATCAACAGAAAAACCATCCAAGATAGCTGACCCCATGCATGCTGATGTTTTAGGATTAAAATTCTTAAATAATCAGGGAAATTAGCAGGGGTGTTCACTTTAAATGGTACCTTTCCTTTATAAGTATACTAAGGTTTGAGTTTGTGAAAGTATAATATTGGGCAAAAAATTTACAGCTTAAGTGTAGTTTGAGCCTTACTCAAACAGGTGATTGTTGATTGAAATTATGGTTTTCAGCCTGAATAAGTGACTAATCCATGTCTAATTTGTTTGATTACATTGTAAGTTTCCTTTTCATTTTGAGTTTTCTGTTCCCTGTAGCACAATAAATTCCTCTGATCCCCAGTTTGTTTTAAAATTTGTGTTTCTTATTCCAGATTCAATCTAACAAGACATATTATATTGCAGTGTGAAATAATCATAGGAAAAAAGAATAGAATTTAATTAATTCCATTATAATTCAATTTCTATTTTTAGTTTTTTTTTTTTTTCACAAACAGATCAAATTGATTTTTTTTTCATTTGAATCTTTTTTCTCCTTTGTCCCTTTTAAGATTCAAGCTACTCATGGGTACCCCAATCCAAGCACTTGAAAGCCACACTGTAATTTGCAAGGGGAAGGGGGGGGGGGTTACACTGATTCTATGGATTGTTTGATATTGCTGTTTGGGGGGGATTGGTTCAGGTAGTGACAAAAAATATTGTGCAGCAGGTTAAGTTAATTTTAACCTTTTGAGGATATGCCACAGTCTATCAATAGATTTTTTTATGGTAACCCATTGGGACTATTTGAAGAAGTCGTGTAGGTGTGGCTTGGGATTGGGCTGTGATGGGCCAGGTACAGAAGGGCCCTGGTCTGAAGAGGCTTGCACAGGAATGCCACCTTTGTATAGGTAGATTATTTCCCTTACAGGGTGATTACATGGCCGTCCTTGATTTCTGATTGTATATCCTGGGTTTACACGGTAGACTGTCCAACAATTTGGACATATAAAATTTTCCTTGGCAACAATGTTCTTACAGGTCTTCCCAGATACAATAAACTTGCAGCCACATTCACCTTCATCTGAGAGGCCAAACCAATTCACTTGTTCTGGTGTGCAGAGTTTGCCAAATGCTTTTTCACAGTGGGGGCAAAGGTCCGAACCTTCCTGGGCATGTGAAACCAGACTGCAAAGCCCAGACACAATGCAAAGCACAACAGCAGCACAGAGATTCATGGGGGCAGGGTGTTGAAATCGAATCCAGGGGGTATTGAAACTGGGGTCAAGTGCAAAGTGTTGATAATCCGTTGAGCTATGTCAGCGGTGATAGATGCAACTCAAGCTCAGGCTTAATAGTTGCTAGTCACTGGAAAATCTCAATTATGTCCTGCACAAGTATGACATATTTCATCATTCTCACAGACTTCAATTATTTTGGAAACCAAAACCACACAATAGTTCAAAATTTAAAACAAATAATTTTTGCACAAATCCAATTGTTATGGTTTTGATCATGCACTTGCAGATCCTCAGATCAGCAATTCTCTTTTCTCTGTTTTTACCCCCTTAAAATCTCATCCTTTTCTTCCCACTCTGCCATTGCCACTGTTTTCCCCCAGCTTTTCTTGGGTACCAATATGCCAAGGATTTGGGTTGGACTTATACAGATGCTTGTCTCTGGTTATGAAAATGAGGTTGCTTGACTCTAGTTCCCCTCACTTCAAAAACCTAAAAATGGGGGATTTACCCAAATAGCTTGGCAAAACTGGCCTTGGGTTAGATGTGGCAGATTTCCAGGGAAAAAGAACTCAAATGTATCAAAGGATAAACAAAGAAATATGGGACACCTCAAATGTGAAAAAAATGAGAAATTTAACAAGCTTCATGGGGAATAGAATATTTCAACTTGTGTAATATCTTTGGGCAGAACTTACCCCTTTTGGGAGAACCTTTGCACTAAGATCCATTCCAGCATAACATCTGTGCACAGAACTGGTTAATTGCAAAAAAGAAAAAAAGAATAAGGTCAAGCCAATCAATCAATACCTCTGAGTACAGTCCTGGCTTATCCTCTGGAGCAAAAGAGTTGCCTGTGAAACCTCAATCTACAGGTTTCACAAGAAGATTGGGTAATCAACAACTCATTGACTATTTCAACACTCACTGCCCCGTCCCCCTTCTAGCTCAGCAGAGACTTTGACTTCATTGTCATATCTGCTGAGCTAGGTAAGCCACTCATCTCTCTTTCTCACAATGTTGTTTCTTCTCATCTTTCCTTCTGTTTCTTATGTTATCAAATCATGTACTGATAGGAGATACTTTGACTTCATTATCATATCTGCTGAGCTAGAAATAAAAATTTATCCGTTGGTTCTAGAAAAGTCTCCCTCAGTGCCTTTATTCCGGTTCTAGTCCGTAAAGATCCAGTGAAGAGACTTCAACCCTTACAATCCTCTCAATGTTTGAATCTGTGGTCTGCTCTATTCCAAGGTGAAAAAGAAACTCACAAACACATCCTTAAAATACATCTCATATTTCATTGCTCTTCCATGGAAATAAACTCACCTCATTTGTTCACAGGTGCAATTGTAAGTTGCACAATCATTTCATTGGTTTAGCGTTCAGGGGGTTGGAAAAACAACTCCCAAAGATTGGGAGAACAAGTCTGCCTGTTGACATCCTTGGGAGCTGTTTTCCCAATCCCTCCCCCTTTGGAAAGTTTGGGAGTAGCCTCCTGTTGGACATACCCCACCAGCTGGGAAGGTTTCCCACCAGCTGTCAAGGTTGTACTATCTCAATGATGTATGGTGACTGGAAGGGAGAATTCTTGACAATTGGAAGGGGTTCCTTCCAGTCATCAAGAGCAGAAGGAATCCCTTCTGGTCATTGAGACAGTCCAACCTCATGAACAGCCAGAGGGAATCCCTCCTGGGAATCAAGACTATTCCTGCCTCATTTCATAGAATGATCTATGCATTTAATATGATCCAACTTTAGATGCCCCTATTTGAAACTTAGGTGCTGGCATCTCCACACTGGAAATGGTGGGCAGGGACAGGGTGAAGTAGCTTGTGCAGTGCCACAACAAAATCCATCTCACAAGTAATCCTCCAATATACATATACAACAAAAAAACATGTAAATCCTCTAACAATCAATCACATACACACATAAAAATCAAGTAGTGCATATGTGTGTGAGTGAGTGTTTTATCAGTGAGGGAAGAGAAACATTGATGCAACCAGAAACAAAAAACAACAGAGACTGCAAGAAAGATGTGGGGCAACACAGAGGAAACAACAGCTAACTGAACCAATTATAGTTCTTGTATTGTGCAACCTCCCTCTCCTCATGGTCCTCTACACGTATCTTGGGTGTATGGACTGTTTAACTGGTGTATACTCTTGAAAAAAAAATAATACAAAAAGGAAGGAGAGGGCTGATAAGGGCTGATATCAATGAGAATACATAGATAGAAGAAAAAAAAAAGAGATGACAGGTATAAAAAATAAAGATAAAATAAAAAATAATGTATCTAAAGATCTACCAGCCAACAACAAAAATTATAACATGTGTACAACAATTGCATCAAAATATCTATGTGTACAGGGGGAAAAGAAAGGAAGCAAGAGAAAAGAAAGTGAAAGTGATGAGATTATTCTTCCATAGGTTCCACAACTTGGTATCCGCCAATTCCACCACCGGGCCCAACCCTGACCGCGGCATAATTATTCCTCCGATACCTACACAAACACACACACACCCAAACAAAACAAAAAAAACACAAAGATCATCAACAAAAAAAACGCCTGATTAACTTTGACAAAGCCAGAGAGAGAGAGAGAGAAGAGAACTCAACTTGATTTGGTAGATTTTCCAACCCCCAAAACCGATGGCGACAGCGATCAAAGTGAGGAAGAAGAAGAGGAAGATAAATTTACCGATCCGGTTCCAAAACGAGGGATAATACGGCAAGAGAACCATATCGATTGCCAGAACGCCGCCCGCAAAGCTGATAGAATCCGGGTGACTGATCCTCAGAGAAGAATCTATAAACGAAGAATTCCAAGAAGAAGAAGAAGAAGAGATGATTTTAGGAGTAGCTCGGCCGTAATTAAGGATCCTTGCAGAATCATGAGACTGGTCGGATCCCCGGGCGCCTTTAATCCCGACTCTCCATTTGCCAAAGAACTTATTGCGATCATTATCATCATCATCATCATCACCACCACGATGATCACCGTGATTATTGACTTCTTGAGGACGATTGAAGCGGAAGCTAAGGTCGCCAAACCGACTCGGGCCGCCCTCCTTTGTGCTCAGAAGGGTCGGATAGACCAAGCCGTCTTCGAGATAGAGCGGCTCGAAGAGCGCCGGGGGTTGGTGCGTATGGTCCAGAGAATCGCCGGTTCCCGGGAAGGATTCGTCGGGATAGACCGGGATGATGTGTTGACGAACTAGGGATTCAAGCCGGATTGGGTCTTCCAAGAAGTACGTTAAGTTGATCTTCGTGAACGCAGAATCACTAGGACAAAGGATTGTATAACCGCGAGAAAGGTTGATCTGGTCTTCCTTATTCTTATTCTTCTTTTGCCCAGATGACGATCGATCGTCCTTGGAAGAAGATGGAGGCACACCGGAGTCCAGGATCCATGTCAAGTTAGTAGCTTGGATGAGCTCGAGCATCGTCGTCGCTTTAGCCCCAACCATCAGCTTGCGAAGGTCGATGTTCACCCCGGGAGGAAGCTCGACCTGGGAGATGAATTGCATACTCCCATTCTCCACCAACACGTCCCGTTTATTGATCACCTCCGAGTCCTTATCCTCGCCATTCAACGCCACTCCACCGACCGTCGGACCATGGAGGGTGACATTATTGGTGGCTAGCTTACTGATATAAAGTTCTGTGCCCTCCAGAGTCGGGTATCGTTGACTGCTCCCGATCTTCAGCTCGTTGAGATAGATGACTTCGGTCACTGCATGATATTTCAAGACTTGGAGGAGATCCGGCTTGGATTTCTCGAGCAAGAGGTAATCCATAATCAAGCCCAGATTAGCAAACGCCTTATTAGTGGGCATCAAGTAAGTAAGTTCCGGGAGGGCTTGCAACTGATGGTCGAGTTTGGCGGAGAAGATCGAGGCGACGCCGGTCGAGAAGCGGATATCTGAGAGTGCGACTTGGAGCAGATCCGACGGAGGCTCGACGATCTGAGAGAGGATGTAGATCACCGTATTCCCGACTTGAATCGGGTCCCCGCCGACGACATTGGCGCCCCCGAATCCGATGATCGGCGACTTGGAGAGCCCTTTGCGATCGTTGGTTGAGACTGAGACTGGCATCCGTTGTTTATTAGAGCTCGATCCGCCCTGCAACTTGAGCTCGGTTCGGAGAAGCATCCCATCTTCCAAATCATCTATCAAATAGTTCCCCTCGATCACATGATATCTTAACGATTTCTTGAGGCTTTCGGTATCATTCGTCTTCAATCGATCGATGGACGATCTACCAAGAGAGGATGAGGAAGAGGTGGATCGAAGCACGTCATCACGAACGGCCAAGATCGTGTAGCTCTTGTCACTGGATCGGTTGTCGAGATAGGTCGAGCTGAGATTGGCCTGGCGGAACAAGGAGACAAACTTGGTGCAATTGAGGGCCAGAAGGTACTTTTCCGGTGTCAGTTGAAGTGGATTATCTCCGCTTGAAATCAACAGATTTGGAACGATGTGAAGGACGCCTATGTACATATCCAAAGGGGGGAAGGAGGAGAATCAACCGATTGACCAATGGACAAACTGGATTGTTGAGAGTTATCAAAAACTGACCATTGCTAGCCAGAATATCATTTTCTATGATCTCCGAGCCATTGATAGAGGGTAGATTTGATTTCGGATCGATGCCGATGGAAAGAGGTTTACCATCGACAGAGAAAAGGACGAAGGATTGAGCGGGTTGATGTTTAAGAGCTTCCCGCCGGAGCAGATCGGAGTAGCCGATCCCTTCTGATCCTAAGACGTTATCAGCAGTAGCCTGACGAAAGAGTTTGATGGAGTCATCGGCACTAAAGTTAGATCTGAGATAGCCTAATTCGATCGAATTGAGATGATCCCAGGCTTGATTCTGAGGGGCAAAGATGGTGAGATGGGGGAGGAGGTCGAGTTGGTCGAGGAGTCGATCTGGGAGGATGGAGGCATAGGTGCTTAGGGTGGGTGTGGATTTGATGAGGTGTTTCAATGACCGGGGAGGTTTGAGGATGGATTGGATGGGTATGAGGATCCCGTTTGTTGCGTTCTGGAACTGATCTGGTGGAGGTAATCGTATTCCACCCTGACCGCGTTGATCGACTCCGATGAATCTGTCTTGGTCGCGCTGGATGATCCTGAGTTTCTGCGGCTGATGTCCGAGCAGTAGACGGCGATCATCTGTATTGCCGGTGTTGATTGGTTCTGGGAAGAGTAAGCTGTCGAGTAGTTGAGGTGAGTCGGATGGGCCTGTGGAGTCGGGTAGGGTGTAGTTGAGTAGATGGTAGAGTAGTGTCTGTCTGAGTTCGAGTTGTAGGTTATCCTGTGTGGTTGATAGTGATGATAAGCCAGCTGATTCGATTGCTTGGTTGGTGGGTGCGAATAGGCTGGCTGAGCTGAGTGAGTTGATGGTCGGTACTAGTCTTGAGATCTGGATGAGATGGAGTAGTTTGGTGTGTTCGGTTGAGTTGGAGAGTAGGTCGATTAGGGTGGTCGAAGTACTGGTTCTTGGTAGTTCGAAGCTAGTCTGTTGTTGTTGATGGTGTTCTGCTGAGATGAGTAGTGGGAGTAGTGGTAGTAGTAGTAGTAGTATCCTGTTGACCATCCTGTCGATTTATGTGGTTCTTGGTCTTCTTTGTCAACTCCTCGGGGCTCATCGCTTCGAGAGAATAGAAGCTCAACACGGGTACTCTAACCCGAACCCGAATCAGCCCCGAGGAAAGTGACCGATTATGCAAAAAGGATCATAGAGGAGGCAGAGGAGACAGAGGACAGTATATATCCATGACATAACATCCCCCATCATCATATAACAATAATCAACTCAAGCATAGGGGACTTCCTGTTGATCTGGAGAACATCCCTCCGGCCCCGGATCTTATCTGAGCCCCACAAAAAAAACTGTGTCATAGATCAATATTCTAAAAACAACCTCCAGTAGTTAGTGATCATTTGATGATTCTATTTCTGGCTTGAACACAAGCAAAGGCATGTCCACTGGAAAAGCCAAGCAATAACTGATTGATCGTCATGAACTTGAACACATTGTCAGGTCTGGCTTTGATTTTTGGATTCTCTGATCTTGCTTAATGAAACTCCTTGGCCTGGTTGCTGAACTTGCAGAATTACACATAGTAAATTTCTCAACCCAACAAAAATAAACAGATAAATTGGATCCAGACAGAAGAACAGAGATCACTCACAATCCTTGCTTGTTTTTTATTTTTCATTTTTATTTTTTGCTTTTATGCTCATAAGGTATGTGTTGAAAAACTGAACAGATAAAGGGGAAAGAATGGGACCCTCACAGCTGTGGACTTAGACCAGGGAGAAGTCTACATTTACACCAGGGAATCTAGCTGTTCATGAGGCTCTAAACCAATTCTGGGAGGTCTGTAGATCTTGATGCAATTAAAAGCCATCCAACAGAAGACTAAGTTAACAAGAGAGAATGTAACCACCCCAGACAGAGGAGGATTAAAGCCCACCCCATTCATATGCAAAAATGGTGTGATTTTATGGTCTACAGGACTCTTAACCTCATCCCTGGGAACCTGTACCAGAATGTCGAAATGTACGTAATTGTCACCACGGTCATTTGCGTGTCGCCGCGGATGTAACCGTCACCTTGACGAATCCGCGTGCGTGACTGCGGCAGTAGGCGCAGTGACTGCGCACGAAACCCCCAATGAAACCCCCAGATGTCGCTCCGCGCGCGAGCGACATGCAATTGTTCGTGGTGTGTCACGGCGACATGGCCGAGTGGTCTAAGGCGCCGTCTTAAGGAGGTCCCTGGGATGTCCAGAGGCATTCCAGGGCTGATCCGGCGGTCTTCGGGCGTGGGTTCGAATCCCACTGTCGTCACAGCTTTTTGTCTCCCTGGTAGACCAAAATTCCCAACCACATCTCCTGCAAACGGTCTCGAATTCTCTCCTTCTTCACTGATGCCGACAATTTTTTACGCTTGAAACATTGCCCATTTCAGTCGTAAGAGCCTTGAACTTGGTGGCAACAACTTACATTAATAAACAACAGTCATGGAAAAAAATGTTGAATCCAAGAATGCTGTTGTAATTGTATAGATGAAGGTGGAGTACTAGTACTTGGTACATGTCTACAATTTCCATCCAGACACCCCCAACAGCACCGTTTCCCTCCAAGATAATAGATAATGAATCGATTCATTCATGTATATGTATATGTATAAAAAAAGACAATGACCAATCTGTTATACATCCTGAGAAGAAGAGAAATAATATACAAAAATGGAAGTTTCAAAGATCGCTAGGAATCCCATGACAGTCTTCGTCCTCATACTCGATAGTTTCTTCATCAGGCACGCAAAACGAATCGAAGCTGAACCGATCATCGGGGTGATCATGTTCGGAGGAGATTGGGCGACGACTAGACGACTGACGGGGCGGGTTCGAACGATGATGATGATGGAGTGGATGGTTATTAGGACGAGGTTGAGGCGAAGGAGCTCGTTTTCCAAGCTTCGTCTTAACCACCGACAACGGCTGAGACATCATCAAGATACTGGCCCTATAAAAACTGGTCATGCTTTTGTCTGGCGAACAATCGTCTTGGATCTTGGAGGAAGAGGTGTTGACTAGGAAGTCCCGGTCGATCGAGTTCTCAGATTCGATCTCCTCCGAACTCGATCGCTTCTTCTTCTTCCTTCCGCCTTTTCCTTTCTTCCGTCGTTTCTTCTTCTTCCTCTGCCCATCTCCTGATCCTCCTTCCTCCCCTTCTTCTTCGCTGGAACTCGAAGTATCCGATTCTGATGCTTCCAAATCAAACCTATTCCATTCCATTTTTTCGAAAAAAAGTCATCAACTTTCTTTTATAAATGTCATACGAGCAAGCCAATAAGGATTAAATGACTTACAGGCCAGTTTTCAAAGCCCATTCATTTCCGCGTGTAGAATGAGAACTCTTCTGTTGTCTCTGTTTGCCTTTACCTTTGCTAGAAGAAGCACCATCTTTCCGAGTTTTCACATGACGATCCGATTTGCGCTCCGATTTCTTGTGACTCTGAGGACCATCTGGACCATCTTCGCCCACCATCACATCTCCATCATCGTCTTTATGATCATCATCATCATCATCGCTCTCAGGAGCGATGATCCGTTTCTGCTTTCCGCCAAACCCCACCGATTTCTGGATCCTTTTACTCCGAGGCATTTGCGTATTTGGGAGGATCTCAGGCCGCAAGAAATCGTCCCCATTCTCATACTCACTAGGACTGATCGGAGGGGCCTGTTTATTGTTGTGAGTTAACGCCCTAAAGAGTAATGGGGAGTGGTCATCATCATCCTGGAACCGAGCCGGTCCGACCAGCCGCTTCTTAGTCACGCCGCGATCATTAGATGGACCACTAGGTGTCACCGGTGCATTGTTAGGAAACTCTTGTCTGAAGGGTACAGCTTCTTGGAACGGCGCCGGTTCAGAAACCGAGCTCTTGAAGGCTGCAAGACGCTGAAAGCTACTCGACTGACCAGGTCGAGTCGAGTCAGGACGAGCATGTGGGGGAGCGTTGGCCGAGGTAGATGCTAAGGGCGAAGGAGAGGCTATCGATGGTGGGGGTAACAGTCGCTCAGATGTTTTCATCGAAGGAATGAAATCCTCAAAGTCTGGGAGATCATCATGGGAAGAAGGTGGTTCGTCGAGTTGGGAGGCTTTTTTCGATTTACCTTTGGGGGAAATAGCACGAGGAGCCCCTTCACCAAATTCATCCAACAATCGAGGGCTCGACGATCGCGGTGAACTGAACGCAGCAATAGTAGGAGAGCGAGGTTGGGGGACAGGAGTTGATGCACCCGCATCTTTAGAGTTAGTCCACCGACGTCTGATCGATTTTGGACCATCTGAACAAAGTCTCAATGGTTTTTGAGCACCCATACCACGCAATTCGGGTGGCCACCAAGTCACGTTCTTGCTTTCCAATCGGGCTATGGTATCCTCTCTCCAAGCTTCATACTTGGCGTCATCATGAACGTACGAGTCGCACTGATTCATGATCCTCGTATATTTTGCAGATCTGGTAATGTTCCGAGCAGATCGTTTATTCTGCGGAACCGATTCAAGCCTAGATCCGAGAGCACTCTTGGTGGGGAAGTATTCAATCTTCAAGTTTTCGGGATCGATCGGAGAAGGAGCCACAGTAATATTTTTAGACCATTGTTGCTTGAGGATCGCAGCCTCTTCGGCGGTCAATAGAGCAGCCTCGGTCCGCTGACGTAGAGAATCGGCCTTCGATTTTGGAACTGCGTAGTCTTTCGCACTCACGAAGCCGAAGATACCACCAGCCGGAATATCCTCTGCGCCCGGCCTTTTACGCTTTGTCGGCTTATCCTTCTTCTTCCGACCCGAGGGGCTGACCGCCAATTCGACCTGGTCAGCTATGTAAGGCTGTACATCGATCTCTTTATCTACTGCTGTCGGTCGAACCCCTTCGGGTACTAGGCGCTCACAGTCCTCATAGAGCTCTAGAACTTTTTTCGACAGAAGCGCATTTTGCACGTGCTGGTATTGGTCTTGCGCCTTTTCCCAGTTCTTGTCTTCTCTACCTTCAGCAATCAGCACAATCACCTTACCATCTTCATTACGTCCGGTACGTCCCAGACGTTGTAACTATAGAAACAATCAAGTCGACCGGTCACCAAGAGTATCACCATAACAGGAAGACCATCAAAATTCTTACCATTCTGAGAGGACTTTTTTGAGCCTCGTAACAAATTATAAAATCTAAGGCCCCGATATCCAAACCTTCCTCACCGATAGAAGTAGCAACCAAGACGTTGAATTCATTATTTTTAAATCGTTGGATAGTCTCATTCTGAGTTTTCTGATTCATTCCGCGGTTACCACGGACATCATTAGATTGACCAACGAATGCAGAAGCCTTGATGATAGGTTTTTCTTGATTTAAATAGTTAACGATATCGGTGACCATATCTCGGAAATGGCAAAAGATCATGACTCGAGATGATTTGCCTTGATCTTGAGCATTGATGAAGAATTCGAGGGTCAAAGCCTTCATCTTTTCCATTTTGGGATGTGGAACGAAATCGGGCGATTGAGTGAGGTCACGGATTTCGGTCATGAGTGATTTGTAGCCAACTTGACTACAGACTCCTGCCGCACATTTTCCCGATTCTTCTTTGAGTTCCTGCATTTTCTCGTACGCTAGCGTGATCGAATATTCTAAAAGCTTAGCCATAGCCGTGGCCATCTTGGACAGAACAGCGAGATTCGGTCTGAGGTAGCTTTTCTCCTTTGGGATGTGCATCTGAGCAGAGGTGATGGAAAATGCATGGATGTAAGCTGGTTCTTTGGAGCCATGGAATAAAGCTCCACACTGTTTGATCAATGGTAGCATCAGTTTGCCCCATTTGTCTCGGATGGAGGTGAGTTCTGGGGTGAGGGGAATCTTCTCAAGAACAATTTCCTTGTTTTTGGTGTAAGGTACGATGTCCATCGACTCTTCGGTTCGGACCTCGATATGTCCGATCTAAAGAAGAGAGGGACTACCAGATCAGATAACATAAGCTTTATTTTAAGAGTAAGATTCTGACCGACATGCAAATTATCGATGACTGCTTGAACGCGCTCGGGGTCACTCCCCGGCGTGGCAGTTAGAGCTAAGACTCTGAAATGAGGATTGAATCTCATCAAGAGCTTGACCACGATACAATACGCGTAGGCGCCAGTGGCGCGGTGAGCCTCATCGACGACCAGACAAATGATATCCTCCGGCCGTAGGCTACCACGTCTTAGATCGTTGGCTACCGTCTGAGGTGTGGCAAAGATTACTCTTTTGTTCTCCCAGGCAACGGCCCTTTTTGTCGCTGAGGTAGTCCCGGTCAGGGAGACGCAATCGACCGATGGAATTCCAGCAATAGAGTGACATGCTTCAATCTGAAATAGTATCTTCTCTGTCACTTATCCAGATCATCATCCGTTTAAAAAAGTTGGGCGGCTTACTTGTTGTTGTACCAATGGTCTCGTGGGAGCAAGAAAGATAACTTTACCACGAGGATACCACCGGTAAAAGCTAATGAATAATAAGTATAACAAAAAACACTGAGGATTAGTGATCGGACTTGGACCCAAGTAGATTTGAACTCAACAGTGTGCATGAGTAGGGAAATGGTCTCGCACTTAAGCATTACGACGGCAGCGATGAAGGTTTTCCCTAAGCCTGTTGGCAGACTTACCAGGCAGTTATTATAGAGTGCTCTGGCGACGATGTCATACTGATATTTTCGTTTAGGTTTATTGATACTGTAGATCCAAGTCTTGATGGCTTCTGAATCTGATTGAAGTTTCATCGGTACTTTCTTGTGATTAGTTTCTTGGAGTGCCTGGTTTAGTAAGTCGGTATCTGAGTCAACTTCTTCATCGTCCATCATCTCTTCTTCCTCATCATCATCATCAGCGAATTTTGACTTCTTGCGCTTCTTGCCCTTCTGGTTGATATCCGGTAGTACATCCTTGATAGCTCTAAGGTTGTCCCATTTCTTGACGGCTTTGACCTTGGGTTCCTGCTGAGTTGCTTTGGGTACGGGTGGTTGGTACTGGGAACTAGTGGGTTGCTTGCTTGGCCGGGACGGTTTAGCTGGGACTTGACTTGCACCAAAGATTGTAGTCTGAGTATATTTCTTCTGAGTCAAGCCGCTACCTCCGAGCGCCTGACGCGTGGTTGGCTGAGCTGAAGTGGCAGCATTGACTACTGCATCGAATGCGGCGGCATCGATATCATCATCGAAGCAGTCATCGATCGTCGAACTGCTAGCAGCTATTGGCTCGCGATTCACTGGTGGCGGGGTTGGATGACGAATATTTAGTGCTGGCTGACGATCTTTTGGTCCTGACTGACGAGTTGTTGATGCTGGTTGACGAGTTGTTGATGCTGGTTGACGAGTTATTGATGCCGGTTGACGAGTAGTTGGCACTACTACTGGCTGGCGAGTGGGTGGTGGGACTGAGGTGGCGGCACTGAGGACGGCATCGAAAGCAGCAGCATCGATATCATCATCGAAGTAGTCATCGAGATCGGACATGGTGCTTGTTAGGATGATGGTGATAGGAGTCCAACATGAACCGTGTTGAAGGGATCGCGAGTATGTGAGGTGTTGATGCTGGATTGGGTCTTGGTGGTTGTAGGGAGGATATGTTCAATCCCGAAGCACCGGATCAAGATATCGGATATCCCCCCCCTTTCTTTTTTCGGGGGTCCCCGAGACTGCCCCACGTGATCGAGAATAGTACCCCTGACAGCGGATCAGGGGGCTTTTACCTTCTACTTATATGTCACCACCCTTTTTTTCGCTCGTCCAAAACTGCAATCCTAAATTCTACTCAAACACATACTCATCACCTGAACCCGTCAAGACTCTCCTCACATCCCCTTCCCCAAACCTTGACCCGCGTTCCTTGAGCACTAGCCCCGCTCTCTCCCCCCACTATCCACACACCACCCATTCCCGATTAAAACTGTATGCCGCCTCCTTTGCTGCCGCAAGGACCAGGCCACGGCCTCACAGAAGACATGTCCGCAGTGGACATGTATGTCACGGAGGGATCTCTACCTCATCAGGCGGATCCGACATTGATGAGACTAACCTCGTTAGTCGAGTCTCTGGTCGCCCGGCTTGACAATCTGGAGAGAGCTGTGGCTGCAAAGCCTACACAGCCAGCGCAGACCCAGCGGCAAGACTCTTTCAATACCCTGCTCTTCAGGTTTGAGGAGATTGCAAGCAATCTGACCAGGTTGGAGAAAAAAGTGGAAGGCCTGTCCACAAGCGCCGTCCCCGCTGTAAGAGCTGCCCAAGCTCTGCCAACTAAGCCGACACCTCTCTATTCAGAGAAGGTTGCCAGCGCTAATAAGGTAGGAACAATGACCAACAACCCCACCTCCCTACCCACAGTCCCGTCAAATACCCACATCAATCGATTCAAGCTAGGTCAGGTTGTAATCCGTAAAAGATTTGACCAACCCAAGCCATTCGAAGGCTTGTCAGCGGCCCAGATCACAAAAAAGATTAACGAAGCTTTGAACTTTGCTAAAGCACAAATAGAAGGCGAACCCATCACCGTCAAGGCGGTGGCGCAATTCCCCAATGGAGACATCAAAGTTTTCATCAAAGATCGCCGAGCAGCCAGGTGGCTGCTTGAAAACAAACACCTATGGACCGCTCAAGCTGACCCAAAATTTATCACCACACAGATCACTCACCCAGTTCTTCTCCACTCCTGCCCGTCCAGCTTCGAGGTAGATAATCCCCAACATGTGACGCTCCTGTGTCAGCAGAATGACATTGAGCCTAAAGAGATTCAAAAAATCCGATGGCTGCTTAACCCTAAGCTTGCCGGCAAAGAAACAGGTACCCTACTGATATACTTCTTTGACAGGAAGCTTGCCTTTGATATTGAACGGGCGGGCCTCTGCTATAACAGTCTTCATCTCAGAGGTCAGCATTACATCCAAGGTCCTAAACAGTGTTATAACTGCTTGGCAGTAGGCCATTTGGCCCATTCGTGCAAAGAAAAAGCTCTTTGCTCCCGATGTGGGGGAAACCACAACTCAGCATCCTGTGAAGATATGGAGGACTCCAGCAGAAGCTGCCAGCGCTGCCTGGCAGTAGACCGCAAGTCTAAACTACCCATTGATCTCACAAACCCAAAATATGACCACTCACCCTTTAACAACGCTTGCCAGGTACGTGCCAAGGAACTTGAAAGCCTTGAGAAGAACAAAAACTCCCGGTCATGAATAATACACCCGTAAACATTCATTACACAGATTCCCCATCCCCCACCCCATACCCACTGAATTTCCTTTCATCATCCTCACCAACAGATCACAACTCCCCCACCAACAACGCCCCTATTACATCCATCTCCTTTTTTCAGCTTAATTGTCACAATCGCAAGGACACTACGCTCAGCGCTCTCTGTACAGAGGAAAGCTACATGGCCCTGTTATTACAGGAACCATGGACCAACCCCATTGATCTACTCCCTCCTAATCACCCGGGTTGGCACAGGATAACCCCCGTCGATTGCCCAACTAAAGCTGACCGCAGACCACGATGCTGTATCTATGTTAACAAAACGATTCCCACACACCACTTCTTCCGTCTCCCTAACAACTCTACCAACTTGACTGCCGTCTCCATCTCTCTACAACTTACCCATCCGCTCGTCTTCCATCTCTTGTCCGTATACAATCCCCCCTCGACCTTTCCCACCATACCCGAGCTGGCTCATTGGCTAGATTCTTACTCCTCCAGATCCATTCCCACCATCATCATGATGGACTCCAATCTTCACCACACACTCTGGAATCCACCGAGTTACCGCCACACACACAGCCGCAAAGGATCTAATTAAGCTATGTGGCAGGAAAGGTTTTCACCTAACCTCCCCTAAAGGGGTTCCCACCTTCCTCGGCTCACGAGGGTCTCAAACTACCATTGACCTTTGCTGGGTAAACCACAAATGCCGACCCTTTGTCATGGCATGCTCGGTGGCTTTAAACAATCACGCCTCAGACCATCAACCAATTCACTTGCAGCTGTCAGCCCTAGGGATAATGCAGACCTCAGCCCAGACAAAGGGCATTGCGGTAGAAAAGATGGACCTAGATGTTTTTGCCAAAGATCTCTCCTCCAAGCTAACCAATTTGCCCCCTACTAACCACAGCATGTCTCTCGAGGAGATTGAACAGGCAGTTTTAGGGCTAACCAAGGGCATTCAGGAGTGCCACCTCAAACAAGGTAAAACAACCTGGAAAGGAAACACCAGGGCAAAATCCTGGTGGGACCCGAAGGTCCTGAAGCCTTTAGTCGTGAATCGGAACAGGGCTCGAAGATGGATGCTCCTTGACAACTCACCGGAAGCTAGAGAGTGTTATTTTGCGTGGCAGAAAGCATTCAAAACCAAAGTTGACGAGCTGAAGCTCCAACATTGGCGAAGTTTTTTGGCAAGAACGGGAGACGCATCGGCATTCCAGGCATACAGGTTCACCAAGGCCAAGATGGCGAACACGATTGAGCCACTATATCGAGAGGATCGGACCTTGACCACCAATGCGGTGGAACAGGCTGAAATTCTGTTCAAGGGCACCTCAGTAATTAACACTGAGTGTGATCTGTCAGATGTAATCGAGACACCTGCAGGCCATGCTAATGATTTTCCCCCAATCACAGAGGACGAAATAAACCGGGCAATTCAGTCGCTGCCCCCCAAAAAGGCAGTGGGGCCTGATGAAATCCCAAATGAGCTGATTAAAGCCGGCTATCGGCAGCTGACCCCCTTTCTTGCCCCACTCTTCTCGTCTTGTCTACGCACTCAACATTTCCCTACAATCTGGCGAACAGCAACTACAGCCATCCTCCGCAAAGCGGACAAACCCGACTATCAAGACCCTAATGCTTACAGGCCAATAGCTTTGCTCTGCACCATGGGAAAGCTTTTTGAGAAGGTACTGAATGAAAGGTTAATCCATTGGATGGAAGCCAACGACATTCTCCCTCCCAGCCACATGGGTGGCAGGAGAGGAAGAAGCATCACAGATGCCTTGGTACTGCTAACGTCTTGGGTCAAAAATCACTGGCGCAACAAGAAGGTTGTGGCCGGGATCTTCCTGGACGTCAAGTCCGCCTACCCAACGGTCTATAAAGACAGACTTCGCTGGCGGCTAACTGAACTTTCTTGCCCCCCCTACCTAACAGCCATCATTTACTCTTTCCTTTCAGACAGGTCCACAGCAATGAGGATGGGAGATTACACCTCTCCGCCTTTCCACATCCCCGAAGGTCTCCCCCAAGGCTCCCCTCTCTCGGTCACACTTTACATCCTGTACAACAGCAGTTTGCTTGTGCAAAACAGAGCAACCTTCAACGATAACAGGATTTCCATAGGATATGTGGACGATGTAGTCCACTTGGTAGCTGCCACGTCCATTGACGAGGCAATGTCCATGCTTCGGGAAGAAGCAGCTAGGTCGTTGGCTTGGGGAAAGAAGTACGGCGCCATTTTCGACAGAAAGAAGGCAGTGGTGATGGGATTCTCCCCAAAACCCGCTAACCTCCCTCCTTTTGACTTTGACGGTCACATCCTTAATTTTCAGTCCTCCGCTCGGTGGTTAGGTATAATATTAGACAGTCGGCTCACCTTTACTGACCACATCCAAAAAGTCAAAAAGACAGGCGACCTGACACTACTACAGCTAGGCCGGATCATCAGGTCCACCTATGGGCTGAACCTCCAATTAGCCCGTCGCCTGGTTAGCGCGGTGCTATACCCTCGAATATTGTTCGGCAGCTTGATCTGGTTCACGGAAAAGAATAAGAAGACTGTCTCGCAGATGTTAGACGGCCTCTTCTTTCAAGCTAGCAGGCTGGTAACGGGCTTGTTCAAGCAAACCCCCTTACCTTTCGTTAAAATGAGTAGTGGGCTGAAACCGCTGGTTGACACTCACAATAAACTCTCTCTCTCTTACATCCTCAAAGGACTGACCAGAACCCCTCCTCACCCAGTTTTACCTTTTCTGCTGAAAGAACTCACCGAAGCAAAACCTTCTTTCCCCAGTCCTTTGCATCTGTTTACAGGACGAGAAGAATTGCGACCCAGCCTGGATTGGAGGATGGAGACCATAAAGGCATCTCCAATTCCACCATGAGTCCGAAACCTGGGCATGGCCAAGTCCAAGGCGGTCGAGGCAGTTAAAAACCAGATCAAAGAGGAAGTAAGGGCGGACGCGCTATTAGTCTTTACAGATGGCTCTTGGATTCCTGGAACAGGAGCTGGAGCAGCTGCTGCAGCTCTTAATTGTCCCTTTTCCGATTCAGTAAAAATTCCCCACCACCACCGGATCTCCAACTACGAAGCTGAATTGGTAGGAATAGGACTAGCCATCAGATTAGTAAAAAGAATAATCTGGTCAGCTTGGCCCGGAAGATTTAAGAAGGTTGCTATCTTCAGCGACAATCAAGGAGCCCTCATCAGAACGGCCAACCCTTGCCAGCCCTCTCCCGGGCAACATCTATACGCTGAAAACTTCTCTTCTATCCTCTCTCTAGGTCTCCCGGTGTCTCTGTACTGGTGCCCAGGCCATGAAGGAATCACGGCAAACGAGTTAGCAGACAAACTGGCTAAGTCCGAAGCTCAACATCCGGAAGAAGACACTTCTTATGCAGCCCTCTCGCGGCCACTTCCGACCAGCCTCTCGAAATTGAAACAGACCTGCAGAAGCATATGGGACAAAGGCCCATTGCTCTTAGCAGAAGAGCGAAATCGGTTCAAGTTCAAATTAGACCCTAGGCCCATCATTGCCGCGCTTGACGAACAGGATAAGGGACTCACTGCAACCTTTTTGCAACTCAGAGCCGACCATGCCCCTCTCAATCATTTTCTGTTTAAGATCAAACAAGTCCTTGACCCGAGATGCACTCACTGCTTAGAAAGGGAATCAGCACCCCATTTCATTATGTTTTGTAAAAAATTTAGGTCAATCCGAAGAATAATGAAACAAAAAATTAAGCGGACAAAATGTGGGATCAACACAGACTCTTTCTGTGACATTATGGACAACCCGAAGGCGGTACCGGCGGTGACCGAATTCATCCTGGCTTCGAAACGGTTTCCGAACATCAAGATCTACAACAAAACTCACGACAAAAAAAGCGAATAAAGAAATGTAGATGGTTGAAACAGTCTCTTCTTCTCTCTAGTTACCTATTAGATTTCCTTTTCATCTCAGTTCTCATGACAACTCCGCAGTTTATTTTCTTTCTTTTGATTTCTCCTCTCCTCAAGTTCTCATATTTTTTCATTGTCTTGGTTTTTTCTCCTCCCCATGTATGTATAAGCAGACGAGGTCGAGACACCTCCTCCGAATCCTTGAAGACCGTTGCAACATAAGCATTACAGGGGGAGTAATGCATATGTTCGCCATGCTTTCTGGCAGAAGTGTGGGCACTTCGTTGCCGAAAGTTTCATCTCTTGGTGGGATAGGGCTAGGAAGGGGTGCCTTGAGCTCCGACGCTTCTATTGATATATTTCTCTACATTCTGTCTCACTTTCATATTT